TCTTCATTCTGTCGGATTTATATCCATTTATATTGCTTATATATATATATATATATATATATATATATATATATCGAGATCCTTGACAAAATTCAAAGAAGTGTCTGTAGTGTAATCGATACTGACCTAACATCTCGAATTCAGCTACTTTCTCCACCGACGTAACGCAGCTCGCCTCAGTCATTTCGACAAAATATTTTCATGGCAACTTTTCTGATGAGCTTTTATACTTATTGCATGGACTGTGTAAATTTAATTGTGTTATTAGATTGACAACTTGATCTCACTGTTTTATGGTTGAACTAGCTAGGTGCAACCGCAACCGTCTGTTTTTTTTTTTTTAATAGTTTCGCACTTCTCTCCTGTGGATATCCCTTCCGATTTCTTGCTTCCCTGATAATTACAATCCTTAAAAATTTAAATGCAACGTCAATCATCATATTCTGTCCTCCCGAATCCTGTTCCATTATTGGCATTCTCACACTTCTCCTAACTAAAGACTTCCCATTCTCTTTCGCTCCCTACGCCCCACCCCGCTGTATCCCAGTGGTATTATTGCCTTGCTTGGAGTAATAAAAAAAAAAGAGATATTTATCTTTTTTTATATTTAACACATGCGCACATTCTGTACTCTACGAGTGAAGAATTTTTGTCGACCTTATCAATCTGTTATTAAATGTGGCTTGGAGCAGCGATCTGTAGCACGTGGCTCAAAACCTCTTGACGTTCATGATTGTAAACTGGGAACAAATAGGACAGGAGAATTAGACATGTTTAATATTTAATTTATAATCATTTACTGGAATTATTTTATTGAATTTAGTAGTATTTATTTATAAATCTGAAACGAATTGAAAATCTTTTACTTATATTAAATAATGAAAGATTATAATTTGTAAACACAGACGGCGCACGATGATTTGCCTCATAGTGTGGAAATTAGAACGTTATATTTTAAACATCATTTATATAAGCTCAGTTGCTCTCGAGGAAGTCATGAACACGATTTTCTCTGTCATCGCCATTATAATAAATCAAAAACTGTTTGTATTTGTTTATCCTTTATAAATTTTTCAACTTCTATTTCAATGTGACTTGTTCCTTCAGAACGTGGGCAAGGAGGAGTTTTCACAACTTTCCCTTTTTTGCCGCTCTGGCTAAGGTTTGTCTTTTTGCTACCCACTTTCTCTGTTCCTTATCTTACCATTTCCGCAAATTCGTTAGATGGATAATTCGCTGTTTTACTCTGTCCCTCGCGCCTTCAATATGTCCTGTGTGTCAAATTTTCTAATTATGTGCCTTATATTAGGTTGGTGCAAAAATAATGACGTAAGAATGTCGTTTTTTGACGTTAAAAATACGTTATTACGTCATTATTTTTGCACCAACCTAATAATTTCCACTCTCGCTTCCTGATCCTAATTATATATATAAAAAAAAATATGCTGATGGCAAATGGTATGAAACTCTGGGTAAGGCTAAAATTTTGATATATTTGTGTAATTTCGGAGTTTCATACCATTTGCAATCTTCAGAAAGAAGATTGCAAATGGCATAACACTCCTAGTTGTACTGATGGCAAATGGCATGAAATTCCGGGTTGAAATTTTTCTCTCTTTGGATAAAGCAAATACGAATGTACCACGAAAAAAGGATGTATATCCCAATAAATATATAAATATTTGATTTGTTATTGCTTCATTATAATTCGATAAGTAACAAAAGCTTTTTACTTCCGACAAAATAATAATAATAATAATAGTAATAATAATAATAATAATAATAATGTATGAGGATTAAATATCCTAAAGATGATTGTAAGCCGATTTTGTAAGATTTTTTACTAAATAGTGAATTTGTGGATACAATGGAGAAATTTTCCATAAACGTGTCGTTGAATAAATAATCCAGTAATCCGTAATAATCTGTTGCCTTAGTACTCTATTATTCAGTTTGTATTTTTTTCTTTCAGAGATTAGATAGATAGATAGATAGATAGATAGATAGATAGATAGGAAAAATGTTGACACAGATTTTTTTTTTTGAATAAGAGATTAGGCTACATTTCTTAATTCTGATTCTTAACCATTCATTAAGATAAACTAAATTTTTGTCCCCTCGTCTAGAAAAGAGAACGCAGACACATGCACACACACACACACGCGCGCGCGCGTATGTAAGTTCTTTAGTATTTTTGTTATTATTTTTCAAAAATAGTGCTCGATACAAAAGTAGAGCATAAATATAATTATTTATTTAAAAATATGATTCCAACGCTACATAACTCTTATGTAGCGTTGGAATCATATTTTTTTTAAAATAAAATAATTATATATATATATATATATATATATATATATATATATATATAGACAGACAGATAGATAGATAGATAGATAGATAGATAGATATGGACATATTATGATAGATAGGAAAAATGTTGATAGATAGATAGATAGATAGATAGATAGATAGATAGATAGATCCCCGAAGTGAACTCCTAGCCACGGTTTTGTGACATCAGTGAAAATCAGACTAGAAGCACGGGTACTCATTGTCCGGATTTACAACCTGTTTAAAATCCTGGGGACACATTTGTTTTTGACGTTTGACATTGCTGAATGTGACGAGCGTCTATAATATATAGTTGTTAGGAACCTACGGGTGTAAGAATATCCATTACACCAGAGTTTCCACCATCGAAGCTCTACCAAAGATGTACGTCTAATGTTCGCATTGTTACTCTCAACGCAAGTCCCCACTCAGATCTCAAGTGGAAATCCTAGATACGATCCATCGCTAAAGAAATGCGGCTAAATGGCCGGTTCCTTGCGCTACTTCAGTAAGTATCTGATTCTTTCTGACATGCTCTATCATTTAAAAAATCAGATCAGAACAAAATGGTTTATTGCTGGCATACTTAGGCTACAGCGGCCCAATCCTCCTCATTCAGCCTTGACGGACTTCCTAAGCTTTTACATCTTGGGTGATGAATTACTTCAACACCGCAACACTTATCCCACAGATTAAACATTCAACAAATTCAGACCTTTACTGATAGGACACACCATGTATAGTACACAGACACTTCCCAATAGAATTATTGGTCGCCTTCTTGATAAATCGACCATAGTGAAATCCAAACCCAAAATATATGTCCGCTATGTAGATGATATTTTTATTTTAGCTGAAAGCAAAAAAGAAATTGATAATCTCAAAATCGCATTTGAAAAATTCAGTGTTTATCTTTACCTAAGAACTTACTTAAAAAAATAAACTCTCATTCTTAGACGTTCTTGGTAGTAACACATTCACCACTTCGTTATGCAAAACACATTCGGAGAAACATTAATTTTATGAGTGAATGCCCACTTAAATACAAAATAGACGTTATAAAATGTCCTCAAGAAAGCACACGCGAATTCATCCTTTCGTCCCTTTTTCCTTAAAGAACTCCATAATATGAAATAGATGCTAGTTAACTACGGTTTTCGAAACTATCTCAACGATCACCAGATTAGTCTATTACATTCTGTAGTAACTAATAGCAATACTGAACATAAATTTAAAAATAAATAACATTAATTATAACAATAACATGTTCTATAAAAGCCAAATACATGTTGACAATAAGCAAGATAAATTTTCTCTTAGAACAATTATAAAGAAATACAAAAGCCCCAACGATCAGAACAAGAAAATTAAATTATCTATTATAAAATATTTAAAACTTATCATGAAAAATAACAACACGCTCGCAAGATCTAAATTACAGAGAATCAATATTATTTATGAATTCTCATGAGTCTTATATAACTGCATTCCAGATCAAACCAAACTAATGAATAATAATATTGAACATACTACTACGTCCCTATCAAGAAGACTCACATTACATCACTCTAACCATAGCTTTATTTTTTATTTAAACAGACATGGAAACCTACCAAACTCCATCCGCAACATAATTGCAGAAAGTACAAGTATAATAGCTTCATCCACATGTAAAAAAAAAGACTTAAAAATAATGGAAGCACTAATAATAATAAAAAAAAGAAAATCTCATCACTAAATAATATAAACTAAGAACACGTCTACTATGCGCTAAACGTGTTTGGAAAATAAAACATTCATATAAGTCTAGATACATGCATAAAAATAACAACACACCAACAAAGTCAAAATTACAACGAACGAACATTATCTATCAGTTGAAATTCCCCTTAAGGAAGTGTGTACCTGATCAAACCGAATTGATAAATAATTACATCAGTCACACGACTACCTGCCTATCCAGACACATTACGTTACACCTATCTGACCACAACTCTATTAGAACCTATTTAAACACACACGCAAACTTACCAGACCCCATCCGAAACATACTAGTAGAAAATACAAACATAATAATCTCATCCACATGTAAAAAAAGATTAACAGTAATGGATAAGAATAAAAAAGAAAAAGGCAACACATAATAATATTAACTACGAACACGGCCATAATGTGCTGTGTTCGGGAAATAAAACATCTCTATAATACTAAAAACATGCACACAACCCATAAACCCAAATAAATTGAAAACATAAAGTCACTTTTGATAATGGCTAAAAGTATAGCCAAAGGCGCTCGGAATTATAGAATATTTGGACAGTTTCTACACACTCTGTGTCCAAAAAAGAAAACACTTGTACGAACACAAGAAAAATAAAGAAAAAACCTTTATCGCAGTACCTTTTCTGTCGTTTTTAATAAAACATGCATATATGAAGGATTGGTGCCTAAATACACTATGGTATATATATATATATATATATATATATATATATATATATATATTGCATGTATGATATGATAACTTCTGAAAGGACCAAGTCGAGAGGAAACCCTGAACAGAACTATGCTAGCCTGCACATGTCTAAATCCGGATAATAAATTCTTCCCTTATGAATTGTTGAAATATGTCGTCAAAGCTAATGAAGAGATTTCTGTGGAGACTTCAATTATCATGAAGTGAAGTTAACATAAACCTCTTTGATCTTAGCGACATGCCGTCGCCAATGCCGAGCTTTAGATATTAAGAATTGCCACACACAAACTAATCATTCTAACGATTGTCATTTATAGGTTGTAACCTTCAATGAAGTGGCGGAAGAGAAGTAGGCACTAATCAGCCCACTCTGATGAATGTGCTGGCTGGATTTTCAATGTTCCATTTAAAGAACACGCGGGGAAAAGAAAGTTAAGCTAATTCCGATAATGGTCCGCTGAATTAAACCCTTGAATCTTAGTTCATAATGTTTCTTGCATGTAAATCTGATTCAGCCTCAGATGTCCTATACCGAAATTTTCAGGCAGCAATAGAATTAATCTACAAGTTGATCAACATTAAGGTTATTAGAGCGTGTCGGGTTCAGCTAATATTCCGGGACATAATGGTCTGGTTGGATTTCTTTGGCTGAATTATGAGTTCGATCCTCACAGGATGACCCATAATTGTAACTTTGTGTCAAATTAAGTTAATCTTTGTTAATAACAACATTAAACTTATTTCCTTCGTATTCTTTCTACTGTAATGATATTGTTAATGGTAATATTTGCCGTTTTCTTATAAAGAAACTGTTGTATCGTCGAGGTGAATGATACACAGAAAAGAATTAGTGCTTAATATATTTATTCAGCACCAGTATCCGGTGCTAACGGATACATAGAAAAAACATAGAAAAATAGACAAGACAATTAACAAGACAACTTAAAAGGAATACAGGAGGGTCAAATGCTGTATAGTCAAACGAAGTAAGATCAATGTGAATATTAATCAGCTTAGTATCAACTTATTAATCAACCATTAAAGTCCTTAATCGTAGACTATTTAAGGCTATGAGGCTAGCCATCTGGTAGAGAGTTGAAGGGGTGTTAGCTCTCTACAACAGAAACATTTAACATTCATTGACTGAGGAGCAAAAAGCTACCGTCGGTTGAAATTTATTAAAGCTTTCTATTAAAACAATTATTCAGGAAAATAGGTTTCTAAAATCCAGTAATTTTATTGCTCTATCTAGTACTGAGGGTGGACGCTTCCTTTCTAATTCTTTTCTTTGAAATATTATGGAAAGACAGCTTCTTGCATATGTTATTATTTTTTCTTCGAGTCAAGTGCTATCCATTTTAATTCTTGCTGCTGTTAGTACTCCTCAAGTGATATGGTTTCTGTTATTGTTACAGTTCTTTTTTATTCTGTAGTTCCATGTTGCGAAGAAAGATGGTATTCGCCAAAACCGACCGGCTAAATTTGCTCGAAACTTTTTTCTTTAATCTGAGCATTTTACAATTCTTTTTTACGACTAACTTTCACAAAGAATTGTTGGAAGAGGAAGGTAAGCTTGGCATATTTGGCAAGGATATTAGAATAACCTAGAACCAATACTGGGTGCAAACGGCTGAAGGGACATTGGGATAGCGAAAGATGCCTTCTAAAGGCTAAGCAAAGTATTAAGAAACAGGAAAATCTAGAAACAAATAAATGAGTACTAAACTCTGATGTAATATCAGTCCTATTATATGTGAATGAATGCTGGATCATTTCCGCACAGATAATGAAGAATCATGCGGCGATAGAAATGTGGTTCTATCGAAGGAGGTTTAGAATACTATGAACTTAACACGTGTGCAACGAAGAACAGTCATGCTTAACATCAGAAGGTCACAGCTGAAATGTCTAGGACACATAATGAGAAAAGAAGGCTTGGAAAATTTGACACTCACAAGATATACTAAATGCAAGGGTGACAGAGGAAAATAGCACATGACCTACCTAACGAGATTGTATAAATGGGTGGCAGAACATAGTTTATGAGAAATAACCAAAAGACGGCATTTGCTACGAGATAGAAAAAATAGGAAATTGTGGAGAGCCATTATCGTTAAACTTGTGAAGGAGACGGTACATAGAAGAAAAAAAAAGAACCTTAATGTGGCTGTAGATGGGAGCTTACAGTAGTAATTCTATGCAAAGTAGTTTCTTAGCCTTCCTTTTTGTTGAAGAAAAAAATTAAATCTTTACATATATATATATATATATATATATATATATATATATGAAAATTTCTCCGATTTAATCGGTAGAGAAGACAATATTTATGAATAAAAATGACAATAGGAAAACTGGTAATTGCTGACGCGTTTCGTCCAATGTGGACTTTATCAAAGCAAAATACGAAAATGAAATTAAATGAACAACGTAACTAATATTTCACCTTTCTTAACAAAATTAATGCTCTTACAAACAAATATGCACAACAGATTCATAAAATCGAAAGAAAATGGTTGAATACATCAACACAGATATAATGACAATATTCTCCACACGTGACAATCTCTGACGTCATTTTTCAGTTAAAAAATATGAAAATAGCGTTTCTCTACATTCCAGTTGCTAGTAGGTACATTCCGTTTTTGTTTTATTTAATTTCATTTTCGTATTTTGCTTTGATAAAGTCC